AAAAACTGAAACATGTTGTGTAAATGTTCCGTAATGTAAATCGATCAATCGATATGGAACATGAATGATATTTTATTATCTTAATTATAAGAAATTTTAAATATTGTGATCAGACGGATTAAAATAAATAATTGAATTTTGATACAAAAATTATTGTCTTCCAATAAGCAACTTAATTATTTAAATAAATTCATTTTGGCGACTGTACAATCTTTATACTTTTGTATGCGACGTTAATACTGCAATCAACCGTAGCCCCTCGGAACCGTTTTAAAAATCCAAGATTTCTGAAAATAAATGACTGGCAACTTAATTATTTAACAAGCGTTAGTATAAACATTTTAATTACGAATTGTCTTCGTTGGTGATTATGACATCCCTGTTACTTAACAAACACAAACTAATGAGCTCTTCAAGATCACAATCTTTATTGCCAAGCTGTTAGATCAAAAGATTCTACCCCCCTTGTGTAACTGACTGACTAACTAACTGGTTCACGAAACATTCTCTGAGAAGTCTAGGAGTACTGAAATTATTTAAAAACCATTATTACTAAGAAATAGAAGGTGTAATACAGTCACCACAAAATACTGCTGTTGTATTTAATTATTATACATTTAAACTTACTTTATAAGCCTATATTTTCTCCAGTAAAATTTGTCAAGGTAATATAACAGTTTCTCCTACAATGCGATAGTAGAGTTTCTTGGAAAACACTTGAGTTACGAAAAAAATCGCGTTATAGAAACCAATGGTTAAACTGGATTTAAGGGTAAGGTTTAAATGCGTCATGTTTGTGTTTTATAATTAAAATATATAATAGAATTCAGGTCAATACACAAACTTTATTTACAAATGTTAAAATTTAAAATTTGCGCATTCATCGCTACAACGCTGTATTGTAACATCGTTGTAGCGATGAATGCGCAAATTTTAAATTTTAAATTTTAAATTTTAACATCTGTAAATAAAGTTTGTGTATTGACCTGAATTCTATTATATATTTTAATTTGGATTTAAGGGGTTAGGGGTCTAGAGTTCGGATTCACCATCAAAAATGTAACGTTTCTATAGCATTTAGCGATATTATTAATTTAAATATATTATGTTTGCATAATAAATTTCTATACCTGTGCTTATATCTCTTAACTTATTTGCTTAATTTTGATTGCGTTATATTCAGCATGCACCCTCGTTTTGGAAATAGCTTTCTCTTATAAAATAATTTCGTTATCTCCAATTCGCGTCACGATAACACACGTTATCACTATCAACTTCAAAACTTATTTTGTATGTACCATGTCATCTTTGCATGAAAACTTTCAGTCTAACTCGTTTACAGCATATTTTAATATTACCATAAATAATTTCGCATTTATTCCATTCTAATGTACATACACGTTTTTATGAATGTCTTAGTATGATTCATAAAAGTAATGAAAGACCATGATTCAATCAGACAGATTAAATTAATCATTTAGCATCTTCTCAATGCCACAAAAAATTCAGTGCTAGTTACAGTACGCGACTGTAATCTTGAGACTTTCAAGGGCTGCAGTAAGTCCGAAGCATTGAAGGCATTATGCTAACTTTACTCAAGATTACAGTCGCGGACTATAGTTATGAATATATAAGAAATCTCCAATCCGTCAATAATCCTTTACTTAAAGGTCTCAGAAACAGACAATTCCAGGTGGTCAGACGTCACAGAATAAGCAGTTATTGATAATAAATTTTTATCTCGTGTGTTTTCTTACTTCCAGGCTCTCAGTATCGTCCTTCTGATTTGCATTTTCGTGAAGTTGTCGACATCTAAAGCCCAGGATTCGTCCAACTCCAGTTCAAGACCCAGCGCAATAGGTGATATTTAGAGAAAATTTATTGGCGGAGTTAAGTGCATTGAAGTCTCTGTAAATGCAAGAAGTAGCTTGTGATATAAAACAATTAATAACAGAGAGACGCCATAACATAAACAATGCATATATCGAAGTTTAACAATATTCCTGAAGTAATATTCTTTCGTTGATTTTTATTATCAACAGACAAAAGATTATGTTATCCGTAATTATACAAGTCTTAATTAATGGTATCTTTACTCCGTGTTATGATAACATGATAATTATTTAAGGATCGTTAATTTCTTTCATGGGTTTTAGGGTTTTACACGTGGCTTTATAATCTCAGAATATCTCAAGGCTGAATATAAGTTATGTTATTATTTATGTTAACAAAATCATAACTTGCTAACGACGTGACATGATATTCTGAGTTGAAGATATCTGTCTTCTGGGTTGTTGCGCTGTGTAGTCTGGTCGCGCTGTGTAGTCTGGTCGCGCTGTGTAGTCTGGTCGCGCTGTGTAGTCTGGTCGCGCTGTGTAGTCTGGTCGCGCTGTGTAGTCTGGTCGCGCTGTGTAGTCTGGTCGCGCTGTGTAGTCTGGTCGCGCTGTGTAGTCTGGTCGCGCTGTGTAGTCTGGTCGCGCTGTGTAGTCTGGTCGCGCTGTGTAGTCTGGTCGCGCTGTGTAGTCTGGTCGCGCTGTGTAGTCTGGTCGCGCTGTGTAGTCTGGTCGCGCTGTGTAGTCTGGTCGCGCTGTGTAGTCTGGTCGCGCTGTGTAGTCTGGTCGCGCTGTGTAGTCTGGTCGCGCTGTGTAGTCTGGTCGCGCTGTGTAGTCTGGTCGCGCTGTGTAGTCTGGTCGCGCTGTGTAGTCTGGTCGCGCTGTGTAGTCTGGTCGCGCTGTGTAGTCTGGTCGCGCTGTGTAGTCTGGTCGCGCTGTGTAGTCTGGTCGCGCTGTGTAGTCTGGTCGCGCTGTGTAGTCTGGTCGCGCTGTGTAGTCTGGTCGCGCTGTGTAGTCTGGTCGCGCTGTGTAGTCTGGTCGCGCTGTGTAGTCTGGTCGCGCTGTGTAGTCTGGTCGCGCTGTGTAGTCTGGTCGCGCTGTGTAGTCTGGTCGCGCTGTGTAGTCTGGTCGCGCTGTGTAGTCTGGTCGCGCTGTGTAGTCTGGTCGCGCTGTGTAGTCTGGTCGCGCTGTGTAGTCTGGTCGCGCTGTGTAGTCTGGTCGCGCTGTGTAGTCTGGTCGCGCTGTGTAGTCTGGTCGCGCTGTGTAGTCTGGTCGCGCTGTGTAGTCTGGTCGCGCTGTGTAGTCTGGTCGCGCTGTGTAGTCTGGTCGCGCTGTGTAGTCTGGTCGCGCTGTGTAGTCTGGTCGCGCTGTGTAGTCTGGTCGCGCTGTGTAGTCTGGTCGCGCTGTGTAGTCTGGTCGCGCTGTGTAGTCTGGTCGCGCTGTGTAGTCTGGTCGCGCTGTGTAGTCTGGTCGCGCTGTGTAGTCTGGTCGCGCTGTGTAGTCTGGTCGCGCTGTGTAGTCTGGTCGCGCTGTGTAGTCTGGTCGCGCTGTGTAGTCTGGTCGCGCTGTGTAGTCTGGTCGCGCTGTGTAGTCTGGTCGCGCTGTGTAGTCTGGTCGCGCTGTGTAGTCTGGTCGCGCTGTGTAGTCTGGTCGCGCTGTGTAGTCTGGTCGCGCTGTGTAGTCTGGTCGCGCTGTGTAGTCTGGTCGCGCTGTGTAGTCTGGTCGCGCTGTGTAGTCTGGTCGCGCTGTGTAGTCTGGTCGCGCTGTGTAGTCTGGTCGCGCTGTGTAGTCTGGTCGCGCTGTGTAGTCTGGTCGCGCTGTGTAGTCTGGTCGCGCTGTGTAGTCTGGTCGCGCTGTGTAGTCTGGTCGCGCTGTGTAGTCTGGTCGCGCTGTGTAGTCTGGTCGCGCTGTGTAGTCTGGTCGCGCTGTGTAGTCTGGTCGCGCTGTGTAGTCTGGTCGCGCTGTGTAGTCTGGTCGCGCTGTGTAGTCTGGTCGCGCTGTGTAGTCTGGTCGCGCTGTGTAGTCTGGTCGCGCTGTGTAGTCTGGTCGCGCTGTGTAGTCTGGTCGCGCTGTGTAGTCTGGTCGCGCTGTGTAGTCTGGTCGCGCTGTGTAGTCTGGTCGCGCTGTGTAGTCTGGTCGCGCTGTGTAGTCTGGTCGCGCTGTGTAGTCTGGTCGCGCTGTGTAGTCTGGTCGCGCTGTGTAGTCTGGTCGCGCTGTGTAGTCTGGTCGCGCTGTGTAGTCTGGTCGCGCTGTGTAGTCTGGTCGCGCTGTGTAGTCTGGTCGCGCTGTGTAGTCTGGTCGCGCTGTGTAGTCTGGTCGCGCTGTGTAGTCTGGTCGCGCTGTGTAGTCTGGTCGCGCTGTGTAGTCTGGTCGCGCTGTGTAGTCTGGTCGCGCTGTGTAGTCTGGTCGCGCTGTGTAGTCTGGTCGCGCTGTGTAGTCTGGTCGCGCTGTGTAGTCTGGTCGCGCTGTGTAGTCTGGTCGCGCTGTGTAGTCTGGTCGCGCTGTGTAGTCTGGTCGCGCTGTGTAGTCTGGTCGCGCTGTGTAGTCTGGTCGCGCTGTGTAGTCTGGTCGCGCTGTGTAGTCTGGTCGCGCTGTGTAGTCTGGTCGCGCTGTGTAGTCTGGTCGCGCTGTGTAGTCTGGTCGCGCTGTGTAGTCTGGTCGCGCTGTGTAGTCTGGTCGCGCTGTGTAGTCTGGTCGCGCTGTGTAGTCTGGTCGCGCTGTGTAGTCTGGTCGCGCTGTGTAGTCTGGTCGCGCTGTGTAGTCTGGTCGCGCTGTGTAGTCTGGTCGCGCTGTGTAGTCTGGTCGCGCTGTGTAGTCTGGTCGCGCTGTGTAGTCTGGTCGCGCTGTGTAGTCTGGTCGCGCTGTGTAGTCTGGTCGCGCTGTGTAGTCTGGTCGCGCTGTGTAGTCTGGTCGCGCTGTGTAGTCTGGTCGCGCTGTGTAGTCTGGTCGCGCTGTGTAGTCTGGTCGCGCTGTGTAGTCTGGTCGCGCTGTGTAGTCTGGTCGCGCTGTGTAGTCTGGTCGCGCTGTGTAGTCTGGTCGCGCTGTGTAGTCTGGTCGCGCTGTGTAGTCTGGTCGCGCTGTGTAGTCTGGTCGCGCTGTGTAGTCTGGTCGCGCTGTGTAGTCTGGTCGCGCTGTGTAGTCTGGTCGCGCTGTGTAGTCTGGTCGCGCTGTGTAGTCTGGTCGCGCTGTGTAGTCTGGTCGCGCTGTGTAGTCTGGTCGCGCTGTGTAGTCTGGTCGCGCTGTGTAGTCTGGTCGCGCTGTGTAGTCTGGTCGCGCTGTGTAGTCTGGTCGCGCTGTGTAGTCTGGTCGCGCTGTGTAGTCTGGTCGCGCTGTGTAGTCTGGTCGCGCTGTGTAGTCTGGTCGCGCTGTGTAGTCTGGTCGCGCTGTGTAGTCTGGTCGCGCTGTGTAGTCTGGTCGCGCTGTGTAGTCTGGTCGCGCTGTGTAGTCTGGTCGCGCTGTGTAGTCTGGTCGCGCTGTGTAGTCTGGTCGCGCTGTGTAGTCTGGTCGCGCTGTGTAGTCTGGTCGCGCTGTGTAGTCTGGTCGCGCTGTGTAGTCTGGTCGCGCTGTGTAGTCTGGTCGCGCTGTGTAGTCTGGTCGCGCTGTGTAGTCTGGTCGCGCTGTGTAGTCTGGTCGCGCTGTGTAGTCTGGTCGCGCTGTGTAGTCTGGTCGCGCTGTGTAGTCTGGTCGCGCTGTGTAGTCTGGTCGCGCTGTGTAGTCTGGTCGCGCTGTGTAGTCTGGTCGATGTTTACCAACGTTTCAGAGGTTATACTGCCTCCGTCATCAGGGCGATCGCAGCGCAACAACCCAGAAGACGGAAATCTTCATGTTGAAACCTATTTGACTCAACTATCGTAACAATATTTACGTAATGGTTGAATGAACGAATAAGACGTTAACACGTGTACTCATGTTGTTATTACAGACACAACAAACCGGGCTGTTTCCCCACCACCGTTTAATTTGTATAACCTCTACAGGAGACCAGAAGGTCACGTCAGCTCACGAGAAGTGACTTCAAAGGCGACACAACCAGGCAGTCAATCACCGGACAATCAATCATCCACTGCTCAGATCAGTCAACAAAATACTGGAACCCAGTCTCCAGGCAATGAGGATGTTCAACTGGGCACATTAGGGCAGTTCGCACAGATACCAAACAGTCAACAGCCTCTGTTTGGATCAGGGGCAAGACAGCTACAGAACGGCTTCAACTTTGGGACTCAACCTGGGCAGTTTAACTTCGGTTTCAGTTCTCCAGGATATCTGCAGAACATAAACCCACAACAAGCCGACACGCCAAACCAAGGAACAAATTCATTTCAACAAAACTTCCCACCCTTTAACTTCAGAACAGCTGATCAGTTAACAAATCAATTTAATGTAGGTCAGAATGGAAATTCTTTGCCAATTTCCGCAACACAACAAAACACTGGACTTTTCAGCGGTGCTGTGGGCGGTGCATTACCTCAAGAAGATGGAGGCTTTGGCCAACTTAACGGCTTCCAGTTCCCCGCTCATAATTTCGGACAAGGTTTTTCACAGCAATTTCCATCCCCAAACTTTGCTTCTGGGGGGATCTACAATAACACGGCTTTCGCGCCTTCCGAAGGAGATCACAGGTCTGTAGTAGGATTCTACGGCGAAGCGCCTAACATAGGAGCTTTTTCCTTTAACGGCGCACCTCTCCAAGCACAGCAACAGAATTCGTTCAGTAGCCCCGGTGGATTTCTTGGACCGAATTTCGAACAATATCCGAATGGCGAGTCTCAGCTGGACAGTGGGACTTCTATAGGAAATGGAGGAGATCAGGCAGGAAACGTTTTTCCTCGGTTTACCTTCCAGAACAGAGGCGGAGCTCAAGAGGCAAGTTTCAGCAACACCGCCAACGACCAGAACAATTCACCAACCGTCAGGCGGCCTAGCCAGCTACCAAGGCGCAATAATTAGTTCCAAAATCACTATAAATATTATTCGTCTGATAAATTACCTTCCATACCCTGACAACATACAGATAAAGCCTGTATGGATATGCTTACGTGTATTCTATTGCAATGCTTAAACGCAAATAGGTACATATTAGAAATCTAATGCATTTTCTATTTAATAATATCATATCCTCATTCGTATTTTGTATACACTTTCAAATCTTATGGATGTTGGAACACGTACAAGAATCATTTTGTTACATAAACATCCGAGAAAAATCCTACTTCGTTTTCTCACGACCAACTTGAAATATTTCATCCAGTGGCCTAATTCGTCAGCATTATAAATTCCATAGGAGAGTCCATATTATAATAGATATTTTAATGTTATATCTCCCTCATCGTCCATCATTCAGAAATCTCTGCGGTATACATTTTCTTATATTTATTCAAGATGTTTACACTATGTCTATAAACGCTTCACTGTATTATTTACGTAATTGTGGCATAAATAATTTAAGATAAACATATTTCAAGCAGTATGAGGTATGTCTTGAATTTATTTAATCCTTATCCAAAAATCCAAGCTACACGTAAGACCAAGGAAGGTTCTGCGCGTGGATTTATATTCCACACGATTCTGTCCTGTTTCGGTACAACTTTGCTTATTCATAACTAAAGGTCTCCATCTATAATCGGAACTATTTAATATTAGTATAATAACGAATACAATAACAATATATGAATTCAAAAAATAAAATAAATGGTTTATTTAACTAGGACTAGAAAAAATAGCCGGTGAATACTCTTAAAAGGAGGACTGAAAGCTCTTGTCAAAATCAAGAATTCTCCACAATGGCACCCTAATCTATAACGGACACAGTATCTAAAGAATATGTAATAATTTAATTTCTACATCCAAGAAAACTTATCATATCATCGTTAGAATGTCAGCTGTTTTAATAACATTTACATAAATGTTTTACCCTTTATTCTGAGATGAAATGAGATCCATAAAATTCCTATGTAAGCAAAATTCCAAGTTACTGAGCGTTAAACTAGTTATCACTAACGTATAAGAGAGAGAATCTGCTTGTAATTCATAAATATTTGTTGCTCAACAAATATTTATGAATTACCGGCCGCACGAATTTGATTTACTGACTACAGAAATGTATCCTAGCACAAAATGGATAACATACGAATCGCTTCTTCTCTTATGTTTTGTATTACATTAAATATTGCCCGGAATTTTTTAAGTCTTGTACCGGGCATTTAAATTTTTATTATACTCTTAGGGGCATATTTTAAATATCTGTAAAGCAAATCTATCAGGGTCCTGTGTCACGTTCTGTATCGATTACGAAATATACAGAAGTACGTACGTTTGTAAGTACCAGTTTCTCTACCTAAAAAAAAAAACCTGAATACCTGAGACAGAAATTTTTTTTTTGCATTTTTCTTAAGACTGTACTTTTATTCACGGAACGCGGTCCGAAATATGATTTACACAGATTATGTAACCTTTCCTTACGTGCGTGTACGTTTGGACGTAAACGGAATTCTTCGGGTACAATACAATATTTGAGATTCATCATTTCACAGCTGTGTTATTATTCAACAGTCATGTACAATGTTCCATGTTCTGCTGTATAGTGTATATGATGCTGCAAAACATAGGTTTAACGTCCTTGGCTTTATTAGCAAGATCTCAGCCCTCTGAAACGCGTGTATTATCAAAGGAAAATTAAAAAAATCTGGTCCCTACCTTTGAAGAAAACACAAGTTATCTATGTTAATAAGAAGAATTGGTTGATTACGTTTAGGTGAATAATCGCTCTTTTTAACTAATCTTAGAATAATATATATATATATATATATCCATAAATACACTCGGTGGAATAAACAAAATTATATTTGAAAAAACGTGCTTTAAGGAGTAAGTAACAAAGGAAAAGATGATTTTTTAAAAATAATTTCAGTAGTTTGGTGTCTTATTTTTTTTAAACATAATCGCCACCATTTTACATTTATTTAACCAAAATTCACGTGTTTATTCATCCCACTCTTTTAAATTCAATGGCTTTAGTAAGAGAATTCTAATAGTTTTTGATCCAATGTAGCATATACTGACTAATAATGACCTATCAGGTCGAAACGGGTTTCGTTAATTAAATTTTAAATTAAATTTTAATAATAACAATCAATGCCCTAAAGTTGTTGGCACTTCAATTTGTCTATGTTATGAACTTCACGGCATGAAACGATACAAAATCACTTGTAGAAATCTTTCCTGAGATACCTGTGTAAAAAGTAAGCAAATTATGACTATCGTGATGACTTGAAACGTAATTTTAAAAACTGTCAGTATAGAAAATATCTTATTTTGTGGGGGAAATCAATAACTATTAGGTCAGAATAAAGAAACCCTTGACACACTCCCTTATTATGCCACGATTACAGTGCGTTTAACAGAAATCTTTCCAACCTTCACAAAACTTCACTCAGAAAAGAAAACCATGAGAATCTAGGACACACATTCTCATCTGATCCATTGTCATTGCCGTGTTCACACACGTTTAATGTGCGTTGTGACTTTGAAAAGGTAGCCACGTTCCTGTCACACAGAATTAACACAAGATATTATAAAACACGAAGAGGACGAGTTAACCTAAGACTTGGGCCAGAAAACTGATATTTTCCTCAGAAACGTCGGTGACCATCTGTACAACTACGCGACGGTATAAACCAATACATCGCAATTTGAAAAAATTTAGCCAACATCCAGAAAAACTGTCACACAATAATTCCCTCAATGATCATGGAAAAATTATGACGCTGGAGATCACATATTATTAAAATGTATATCAATTATTTATTATTTAGTGTTCTGTCTGACGACAGGTCCATATGAACAGGATCCTTCCATCCTTTTCTCGGACTGGGACCTGTTCATATACGTTCTTGGCAGATGATCCAGAAGTGGTTTGCCATTGCCTTCTTCTGTGTGTGAATGGAGTAATTGTTGGGATGCCACGGAGGAAAACTCCGTGTTGCCTAGACCACGGCCTTGCCCAACACAAGTTATAAATTCGGGCACCGCCGGGAATCGAACCCGAGACCCCCCAGGATTACAAGGCCAGAAACAGGAAAAACGTTTTCATTTAAGGAGCTTCAAAGTACCAAATGTACAGACTTATTATTAACGATTCTCGTGTATGACCGAAAATCATGTGAAATAAATATTTAAACAGATGATAATATTAAAAAAAAATCATTCACGAAATACACAGCATGCGAGAGTGTAATAAAATTGTTAAACTAGTTAAAAGAACACCAGATTTTATGGAACAGAATATTTTGCTGTCGTGTTAACTGATCTCTGCGCTGAGACAGAAGATTTCATCCTGCTTTGTACATCTCGAAGAACCATTTTAATCCTTCCATCTACCCCCCAAATGAGGTACATTTCTAGGGCTTAAGACTGAATCCGATAATCAGCGGAGACTTGTCTTTCGCGCGCACAACTTCTCTCGAATTCTATCGGCTAAGAAAAACTACAATGCAGTTTAATTTTAATGACTTCAAGGCGGAAATCATACACACATTCGAATTGAAACGACGTGTAGTAAATTTACAGTCATCAGCCATGCTTCTGTTGCCACGTGGTGTTTCGACTGGTATTGGGTGATTATTCAGGGCAGGTTGAGGCGAATTTCATATCCTTTTTTGTCTTAAGTTGGTTTTTCCGTCAAATCACAATGTATTTAAAATAAGATAATTAAAATAATTAAAATATCATTCTGTGTTCCATATCGAATAATCGATTTACAATTTGAACATTTACAACATCCAATTGTAAATCGATTATTCGATATGGAACACAGAATGATATTTTAATTATTTTAATTATCTTATTTTAAATACATTGTGATTTGACGGAAAAACCAAATAATTAATTTTAATCTTAAGATTTATTTGTACTGACAAAATAACCAACATCAAAATTTCAATAACTTGTCTCCGGTATAACTAGAAACGTATCTTATCATCACGGAATCAGTTCAAAATTGAATACGTTTTTTCTGATGTTTAATTACTGTCATTAGAAATATTAGCCTTGATGTCCTGTAAGGTAATTACGCCTTCTGCTTTAAAAACTGGGCAAAAGTATGATTTTTACTCTGCGTATTCCAGCGTGAAATATGTGTCATTAAGTAAACGTTAGCCTATATGTAGTAATTATAATAGGCATCATCAGATGTCATCAGGCAGAAAAAGTATCATTACAAAGTGACAAGGTGTAGGACCGAAACCGAGTCCTTGAGTCATTTGATTTGGTATTTCGTCGGTTTAGAAGACGGCAAGTAATTTATTAACTCCGACAGAACTCAGTATAACTAACAAATAAATAAATAAAAATTTAAAAACTCGACAACCCACCAAGAGACACCATCCAAAAGATTTATTTCTGTTTATTTTACGAGTTCCATCCTTTGCAATTGTGGACTCTAAATCATACGAGGTGCGATCGGAAAGTTTAAAGACTGTGTCAATAGCGGGCGAACCGGATGTAGTACGAGCTTCTGCCGCTAGGGGGTGCGGCCTACATTCATAGTGAATCAGTGTGCCAGCCGGCATCATCGAATTAGCATTTGTTTCTTAGTTACGGGCGTTTTGGTAGTGCATTACACCGACCCTCCTGCGCTTTCGGAATGGCGTGTGCATCAAATTTTGCCAAAGACTTGCCAAAACGGCTACGGAAACCTATGCAATGCTAAAGCAAGCATTTGGGGAGTCCGCAATGGGTCGTGCACAAACTTTTGTGTGGCATTCACGTTTTAAAAATGGCCGAACCTCTGTCGATGATGACGAGCGTTCTGGACGACCATCTTCGAGCACAACGCCCGAAACTGTTACGAAGATCGACGTCGTACCATCAACGACTTGTGCGACATTTTTGGGATAGGCTATGGGACCTGTCAGCTGATTCTAAAGGAAGAACTCCACATGCGACGCAAGGCTCCTGTCTGAGGACCAGAAGCAGAATCGACTTCTCGTTTGTCAGGAGCTCCAAGATCTTGCAAGAACCGACCCCAACTTCCTTTTTAAGCTCCGTGTGACTTCTTCCTCTTTCCAAAGATGAAAATTCAGCTAAAGGTAAGGAGATTTGAGACGATAGAAGAGATTCAGGCAGAATCGCAGATGGTGCTTGACAGGCTGACAAAGAAAGATTTCCAGGGATGCTTCCAGGCTTGGCAGCGGCGCTGGGATCGTTGTGTTCACTCCCAGGGGAACTACTTCGAGGGTGATGGATGGATTTAATACCTGAGATAAGTGTACGGGTTTTTATAGGCGCAGTCTAGAAACTTTCCGATCGCACCTCGTACAAGGAGACCTTCATGTCAGCTGGGTGCATCGTTTGAAAATAACACGGACTACAAATCAGGGTCTGAAGGATATTTTTCATCAAGCTTGAAATCCTGTGCCACTGCTTAATGAGGGCGACGTTCTGCTACGACCAACTACTCAGCACGAAGAC